GTTGTAATTTGTTTACTTTTTTTTTTGTTTTTTTTGTTTTTTTTTTTTTTCTTTGTTGTAATTTATTCTGTTTTTTTTTGTTTTGTTTTTGTTGTCCTATTTCTTTAGTGGTTTTTTTTTCTTTTAATTTTTTTTTTATTTCGTTATGAACCCGGCACGCAACCTGTGCGCCATGCACGCCGAGTCGTGGGGCGGGGCCCTGTGCGTGGGGAGGGCGCTGCGTGCGGTGGGCCGCGGGCAATGTGGGCGGCGCCGGGGGTGTGGCGGCGCTGCTCTGCCTGGCCGCTGTGCGGCACTCTGTTCCTCTTCTCTTGTTTTTTTTGTTTGTCTGCATGTGCTGGCGGTGGACTGCTCGCCGTGGTGCGTGTAGGCGTCTCGTGGCCGCGATGGGGGTGACTGGCGGCTATTCGCTGTGGCGCTGCGCGGGGTGCCGAGGCCGGTGGGGATGTGCCGGCTGGACGCCGTGCTCGGGCGCACCTTCGCCGTGCTGCGGCTTGGCCGTGAGTGGGTGATGTGCTGGATCTTGACGCCAGTGACTGTGACGGAAATGCCTCCGATTTTTTTTTTGCAGCACGTTTTATGACGCCTCCGTCCTTTTCGTTTCGTGTTTGTCGGGCCCGTGCGTTCCCCGCCCTGCGTGCCGGTGTTCTTGCGTCACTCTGCGCGAGGTGGCGCGTGCGTGGGGATGAGCGGGGGGAATGTCCTGCGATGAGCACTGCGGTGCGCTGGTGGAGGTGCTTGCGCGTCGTGTCAGCCGCGTTTATGGCCGCAGCTTGGAGCCGAGTGCGCCGGCTGCTTTTCTGGGGTCTGCTGCTTCGTAAACGGGATCGGTGCGTGCGGCGTGTGGGGGGCAGAGCGTTTGTTCCGTGTCGCAGCTTTGGGCCGCGGTGTGTTCCCGGTCTGCAACCCAATTGCGTCCCCGATTGGGTGCGCTGCTCAGGCGCTACAGCAGCTGTGTGCGGGCCCCGCCGGCGTGCGCCCGGCCGCTCGCTGCGAGGGACTGGGCGGAGAAAGCACGACAGGGCGCCTCGCTTGTCTTCGCAACTGCGCTCCGGTGCTCTCATTGCGGTTTCAAGCAACTCTGCTTTTTTCTTTCGCAGGGTTCACGCGGCGTGCGTGCTTGGGGGACGCCCCTCCTTTTTTTCTGCTCTTCGCCCACCGCTTCCTGCTCCCCTATTGTCCCTGAGCGTAGTTCGGCTGCGGGGAGCGGAAGAAGCAGGCGCGAAGGACGAGGCATGGCAGCCGTGCAGCGCGAGCTGTGCGGCTCGTGTGCGGGGGCCTGATGGGCTTCTGCCTTTGGGCCCCACACGTCACGGATGGGCGGGGATGGCGCGGTTAGGCGTCGCAGGCGCTCACGGCGCCAGGCGCCCTTGCGGTGCTTCCAACGAACTACTCCGCGGCGTGCACACCGCCCACGCAGTAAGAAGTGCTCCAACACGGAGACAGAGCGCCCGCGCCCGCCTTGCGCTGCCGTTGGGCGCACTGCTTTGTGCATGCCGCAATGAGCAGCGAGCAGGACGCAAAATTTTATTCTTTACATGGTCTCTCTGCGGGTATGAGGCCGCCTTTGCGTTGCACCGCCTTTTCCTTCGCGTTGCCTCCGCCGTGCGGGAGTAGAGGGTCGACGCTCACAAACACTCACACAAACAAACTCACACAAACTCACACGCACGGCGAGTGTATTATGGCCGCAGGAGTTGAAATGCGGGTGCGCTCCGCGGCGCGGACTGACGGCCGGTGGGAGGTGCTGCTGCTGCTGCTGCTGCTGCTGCAGTGCCTGGGCAGCCACCCCGCCCTCGCCGCCGCTCTGGAAGATGGGCACGTGACGGTTAAAATCAAGAGATACTTCAGCTTCCCGAACTCGGAGTTTGATAAATACGGAGGCGAGGTGTCCTACGCCAAGTCCGCCATGGCCTGTGCCCGCAGCGGAGGCTACCTTTCTGCGGATCAAACACCTGCTGCGCATCAGTCCATCACGGACAATTTGCGGCCGACAGGACGCCGCTTGGATGCGCTTATGTACACGTTCATGGGCGGCGACGCGGAGTACAGCGTGAACACGCAGCGGTGTACGCCAGGAATGCTAACGGCGTCCTTGGGCTGCGTCTACCAGTGGAATCAGGGCGCCTTCGCTGACCCGCTGGTCAGGGGCCGCGGCGCCTCGTTTTACAGGGGCTCACGGTTTAACGTCCCGGGCAACGGCCCGATGAACGGGTACACGCCTCACTGGGCCGCTATTAACCCTTATTTCGGCCAGCCTTATGTGGTATCGCGTCTGCGCGTGAAGCATCCAGCGGAAACGATAACTTGGCACGACGCAGCAGATAATCCAAGGCTCACTCCTATAAGGGCCAAAAAACTCTTTGGCGTTGTCTGTGAGGTGCAGGATGCGACCACCACCACCACCACCACGAGGCCGCCAACCACCACTACCACCACGAGGCCGCCAACCACCACCACGACGACGAGGCCGCCAACCACCACCACGACGAGGCCGCCAACCACCACCACGACGACGAGGCCGCCAACCACCACCACTACGAGGCCGCCAACCACCACCACGACGACGAGGCCGCCAACCACCACCACGACGAGGCCGCCAACCACCACTACCACCACGACGAGGCCGCCAGCCAACACAACTAAGTTGCCGCCGGAGGAGGTGGTTGTCCCGTGGGCGCAGAAGCACTGGTATGTCCTTATTCTTGCAGTCGTGCTGCCGCTTATTGCGGCTCTTGCACTGATAATTATCATTTGCTGCTGTTGCTGCCGCGGTGTCGATGAGTCCAAGTGGGTGACGCCCATGGTCTTGCGGGAGGTGAGCGGCGATGTGCGGTATGCAGCCAACCAGAGGCGGGGAAGCGGGCTGGGTTCCTTTGAGGACCCAGTTTTCCCCATGTGTCCTCCCCGTGAGCAGGGAAATGGAGTCCTGCAGAATTCTTGGATGACACCCCCAGCACCCGCAGCGTACGCCTCACCGTCGTTCGGGCTGCCCAGTCGCTCCAGTCGCCGACGCACTTCATCAGGTATTTTTGCAGGTGTGGAGGTGCCAAGGGGCGACGAGATCGCGGAAGGCTGGGACGATGCCTCTCTTGGGAATACGAGGGAATTACGGCGCGATAGGCCCTCCGGGCCTGTGGTAACTTGGGAGGATACGGAGACAATAGGGCCGTAATGGGCAAGTGTGTTGTGGGCTTCCTTTGAAGCAGGGACGTACGTGGCCCGGGACGTGTGTGGCAGTGTTGCTGTGCCCAGTGATAGCTGTGGGCTTGCGCGGGGTGGGCTAGAACGTGAGTCCAGTTCTGCTTGTAAAGGGNGCGTGCGTTTGTGTGTGG